ACAGGGTTGATAAAGATGCAGATGGTAGAATCACAGAAGAAGAAGTCAGAGAGGTATTTCTGAATTCTGTTTTTTAATTTTTTTATTGTACGTCAGAAACTCGGTATGGCATTGACAAAGTCGATCATATATTATATTTTTTTTCTTCTATAATTTGTTTTGCGATTTGCAGATTATCGGCCTTAGTGCGTCTGCCAACAGGCTGTCAACTATCCAGAAACAATCTGATGAATACGCGGCAATGATCATGGAAGAGTTGGATCCTAATAACCTGGGATACATTATGGTAATTAAGAGGCATTAATAGTAAGCTTAAATTTATAGAACTAAATTGAAAATTAACTGTTGATGCTATGATATTCAACAGATTGAGAACTTGGAAATGCTTTTACTGCAAGCACCAAATCAAACGGTGCAGAGAGGAGGCGAAAGCCGGAACTTGAGTCAGATGCTAAGTCAGAAACTTAAGCACACACAAGAGCCAAATCCATTAGTGAGATGGTATAAGAGTTTTAAGTACTTTTTGCTGGATAATTGGCAAAGAGTTTGGGTATTGTTGTTGTGGATTGGAATCATGGCTGGTCTATTTACTTGGAAGTATATTCAGTATAAACAAAAAGCTGCATATGGTGTTATGGGTCCCTGTGTGTGTCTTGCTAAGGGTGCTGCTGAGACAATCAAGCTCAACATGGCTATCATTTTACTCCCAGTTTGCAGAAACACAATTACCTGGCTTCGTAACAAGACCAGATTAGGTTCTGCAGTTCCTTTCGATGATAATCTCAATTTTCACAAAGTAAGTTGATTAATTGTGCACAAGTCTAATGTCCAAATGATTATAGTTTTATCTATAAGACGTTTGAGTAGTCGATGGCTCATTACAGGAAACTAATTGGTTCGTTTTCCTCTGTTTAGGTGATAGCAGTCGCGGTTGCACTTGGGGTTGCAATACACGGACTAGCTCATTTAACGTGTGATTTTCCTCGGCTTCTGAATGCTAGTGAAGAAGCATATGAACCAATGATATACTATTTTGGAGAACAGCCCGAAAGCTATTGGTGGTTTGTTAAGGGAGTTGAAGGGGTAACTGGAATTATAATGGTGATCCTAATGGCAATAGCTTTTACCCTAGCAACCCCATGGTTTAGAAGGGGCAGAGTCAGTTTCCCTAAACCATTTCACAAGCTCACTGGATTCAATGCCTTTTGGTACTCACACCATCTGTTTATCATTGTCTACACTCTACTTATTGTCCATGGAGAAAAACTATACATAACCAAAACTTGGTACAAGAGAACGGTTAGTAAAATGTTCAAAACCTTTTATTTTCATTTAAGTTTCTAAGTTGATGAATGTTTGCTAAAATTTAAATTGATTATTCATAATTGGCAGACATGGATGTACCTTACTGTCCCACTAGCACTCTATGCTGGTGAAAGGTTGCTTAGAGCATTCAGGTCAAGCATCAAAGCCGTTAAGATTTTGAAGGTAAATCCAATCCGACAAAAGTGTCGTGCTCTTAATAATTCAAGATAAATTTACATTTTAGTCCCTCAGTAATTAACAAATTTCAGTTTTAGTCCAAATGATACACAATTAAATTATTCAGCTTCCCATATGTTTTATATGCTTAATTTATTTTGTTACTTCACAGTTGGGATGATAAAATAAATTAAATAATGTAATGTATTTTCTATATAAAGGGATAAAAAATGCAATTATCTTATATTCCATATAATCGTGACTTCATAAAAATGAAAATAGACAAACTAATTAATTGTGGAATTTGTAGGTGGCTGTGTATCCAGGAAATGTGTTGGCCCTTCACATGTCAAAACCACAAGGCTACAAATACAAAAGTGGGCAATACATGTTTGTCAACTGTGCTGCGGTTTCACCATTTGAATGGTAGGTGAAACTTTTTTTATTTAATTATTAAAATAATGGAATCAACCCATCCATTTTTTATTATATATTTCTCATGTCATAATAAACTTGACCAAGTCATGAATTTTTGGTATCCTTTAATTACTTCGTCTCTGCAGTATTTGCTGACTTATGGATAAACATTAATATAAAATTTCAGGCATCCATTTTCCATTACTTCGGCCCCAGGAGATGACTATCTCAGTGTCCATATTAGAACTCTTGGTGATTGGACCAGACAACTTAAAACTGTTTTCTCCGAGGTAATTACTAATTAGTCCATTTAAATATAATTATATATTACTTAAATCCTTAAACCAAAATATCTAGTTAATTAAATAGTGGAGGCATGATTGTTCCACTTTGGATGACAGCTTTAAAAGCCGTCTCTTATATTTTTTCTTTATGTCGTTTTTTCCCAAAAAGTAAATGTTAATTCCACTATGTTAGTTTTAATTATTGATCTTCCTGAATTAATTATTAGTAATTTTTGGTCTTTGTTAGGTTTGCCAGCCACCACCTAATGGGAAAAGTGGACTCCTTAGAGCTGACTACTTGCAAGGAGAGAATAATCCTAAGTAAGTCCTTTTCCATTCTATAATCATCTCCATTACGTTCACCTTTTTAAGCACACTGAAATGCAGAATTAAATTAAAAAAACTCTCACCTTAATATCCGGGGATATTATTCTTATAATACAAACTTTTTGATAATTTAATACTGCAAATGTAATTAGTTTACAACTTAAAGTGATCGTGATTGGTCTGGTCTGGTACCTATAACAAACCTGTAGTCAGTTTTATCCTAAAGAAATCTGTACACGTTTTGAATGGACCACTTCTTAAAGTACTACAGGATTATTATTTTGTGAAATTACCGGGATAGGGACAAGGAGGGATAAAACAGAACTCAATTATTGCTTGATATTTCTAAGGACACAAAAAAGAACCATTTGCTTGCAAGATATTTTTCTAGTTAAGAATTAATTTTACATATATCTACAATTTTTAATATGCTATAGAAGGTTACTTGTTTAATTTCTAAAATTACAAAATTTTATTATTATTATACATAATTACTTCTAATTGCCTTCTAGATAATTCAAAAAATAGTGCAATAACATTTTTAAGAGCCCAAATAACATCATATAAGGTAGAAGTTAAACTCTACCATAAAAATTTAATTAAATGGCATAGCTAATGGTAATCATATGTAATTGGCAGTTTCCCAAGAGTGTTAATTGATGGACCATACGGAGCACCAGCACAAGACTACAAGCAGTATGAGGTGGTTTTATTGGTGGGTCTTGGAATTGGAGCTACACCAATGATCAGTATCGTTAAAGACATTGTCAACAACATGAAGGCCATGGACGAAGAAGAAAATTCCTTGGAAAATGGGCACGGGATGTCCAATGCAGCACAAAATGCTAGCCCAAATATGGCACAGAAGAGGGGTAAATCAGGTTCAGCAAGTGGAAGAAATAGCTTCAATACAAGGAGGGCATATTTCTATTGGGTCACAAGAGAACAAGGTTCATTTGACTGGTTCAAAGGTATAATGAATGAAGCTGCTGAAATGGATCATAAGGGAGTAATTGAAATGCACAATTATTGTACAAGTGTTTATGAAGAAGGTGATGCTCGTTCTGCTCTTATTACTATGCTTCAGTCACTTCATCATGCCAAAAATGGTGTAGACATTGTTTCTGGCACGAGAGTTAAGTCACACTTTGCTAAGCCTAATTGGAGAAACGTCTACAAACGCATTGCTCTCAACCACCCAGAGGCTAAAGTTGGTGAGTACTATTAATCAATCTTCTTTCTTTTGACTTTGGTGTCTTTATGTCCTTGTGAGAGTTGAAAAAAGCATGTTCAATTGATAAGTTTTTCTTTGTGAAAGCAATTGCACTAGTGTCATTTTCAAATCCATTTCATGACATATATTGTCGATGGCTAACTCGTTTTCCCTTTTTTGACAATTTGCAGGAGTGTTCTACTGTGGGGCACCGGCACTAACGAAAGAGCTAAAACAACACGCATTGGATTTTTCACACAAGACATCCACCAAGTTTGATTTCCATAAAGAAAATTTTTGATCCATCAAAGAATTCCTCAAAACTGCCACGGACACTAAGTTGTTTTTCTAGAATCCACCACCTCTCTATTATGTACAGATAATGATGCACACCAAGTTGATATATATTAATTGTGGTTGTAATATTAGTCTATTACAAAAAATAAGATTTTTTAAAAGTATATAGATAAGATGCTGAAGGAATTAAGAATGTTCTCTTGGAGAGGCAGGCAGAAGATAGTGGAGTTGAACCTGTTTTAATGGGTGCCACCCACCACTAAATTTGGATTTTACATTATAATTGCATAGAGGAAGGTGGTTGTCATCATTGTTTTTTGTTATTGTTTATTTTTTGTACTCTTTTACGTGGTGGAAGAGAGAGTCAACTAGTCACCTACTTAGTAATTATTGACCATGATTTGTGGAAGTTTAATAGTTTCCAGTAATAATTGTATACTAGGCCTTCTTGTATAAAACAGAGCTATACAGTTTGAATACCATAACTTGATTTCTATAAGATTATTCTTTTTAGAGGCACGTGGATGACAAATGCAGTGATAATATGGATCTTGAATTGCTTGGTTTGCTTTTAAAAAAAAGTTAGAACCCCAATCATGCACACCAAAAAATGAACTTCATACAATCTAAATTTAAATATCTACGGCACACACTTTATATATAATATATATACAATAATAAAAAGTATAATCTCTTTTCTTATTTCCCGAATACTAAGGAGACCATGTTATTTGATTTGCTGCAATGATAATTGGTATATAAATTATCCTAGAAGTGAAAAGATTCATAAAAAGAAGTAATCCGATTATTTTTACACAAAAACAATATCTCATATGTTTCATTATACTGCTAAAGAGGAAAACTGGGGTTTTAGCGTGGGGATGGGGGGATAAACTTAAATGAAGACAATAAACCAATAGTTTCACAAAGTTGAGTCCTCAGAACTTTTAAACTATGAGATATTAGAAATATTAAACACAGGAAGAAAAAAAATCCGAAATTGATCATTTATCCAACTACCAGATATTGACAATGAAAGCAAAATTACAAGATAACGGCGAAAACGGTAATATTATAACATGAAAACAACAACAGAAGACAATGACAAATATTACTGCAAGTACAGAATATGAAACATGATACTTAAATTGTTTTACACTAGCCTATAATGTGGTGTAGTAATGAATGATTGCTTCCCTAAAAGAATATTGAAGCATTGTGCGCCAACTCGGATTCAACAAATTTCAGCCGGAGGACATGCCCGTTTGTTGTTCGTTTTAAGATTAAAATTGTATATTTGAATATAGTATGATTCTTGAGAGAGTATATTTAAATTTGAATGCTAACTTATTAAAATTATTTTCTTGTACTACATTAAATTGTGTATAATTAAATGCACTCAGTGTTGTCCCATAATCATATACAAAAACGTAATTAGTCATGGGACAGATGGAAGTAAAGGGATATTGATAGTGCTTCAACTTGACCTCTAATTTAATTATTTATTTATGACTAAAGACGTTTAAAAAGAGTGGATATTATCATTAAACCCCACCACTCGCACAAAGATATACCGGTGAATATAGTGATACTCCATCCACCAACTTCAAATCATAGATTAGTTGGTCTTTTGACGTCCCACAACAATATAGAAGCTAAAAGATGGGATACAGGAAGGCTTATAGTGGCTTTTCACACAACCGTTTGGTGCCGAACGGCACACAAATGCAGAATAGACAAAATTGTAGTTTCGAAGGACATGTTTTCTACAGCACCACTAAGAATTTCCTGCACTGATGAGCAAAACTCATCAAAAACTGATTACTTATTTATTTGATGGGTCATCATATACAGCGGTGGGCCAAAAGACTATTTTGATGCACCAGGAAAAGGAACGAAGACTGACCAAAACTGAAGCAAAGGAAAAAAAAAGTGAAGAATATGGTGAAAGCTTGCAAACTAGCTAAAAGCCATATTTCCCACTAATATTTGAGGAAATAATGTCTCACTCTTCATGAAGTAAAAAAGAGGAATAAAGAACTCACTAACAAGTCTTTGGCTTTCTAGTCTAGTCTATCATAAAAGTCTCTTTACCTCACGCAAGGTAAGGTAAGGTCCGCGTACATTCACCTTCCCCAAACCCCACTTATGAGATCACACTAGTGGGGGGTATGTTGTTGTTGTACTAACAAGTCTTTCTAGTCTCTCGAAGTGTACCTATCTAATCTCCTCCCTGAATGCTAGGTGGACGATGATACGTCAGTACATCACTCTTCTTGAAGTTAGAACTATGGTTTGATGTACTCATCTTTCAAAATGTAAGGATGCATCAGAATTTAACTAATTGAACTTGTCGTTCCTGAGTTTGGTATTTCCAGTTCATTTCCCGGCACAAGTTCATTCTTTATAATGTGTCACTGTCAACTGTCAAAGATTAAGCTACAAAGACCTTTCCCAGACAAAATCCTTAAATCTTTGATAAATTGTAGCATATATAGTTCAAAGCTCTTCATTTCAAAATCTAATAAGGCATATCACAAGGTATGGTGGTAATCATGATCATCCAGAGTTGTTAATAGTTCAAGACTGTTAGGATTAAAGTAAAATGTAGAACATCTTATGCACAGTTATCTTATGAAAAGACAGCATGCTAGAGAATTAGAGATGCCAAAACAACATAGAACGAGAAGACGGACCTCTGCATACTGAAAGCTTTCTGCTTGAAAAGGATTTTCCTAGTTATCTTTTCCTCTTTAGCCTCTGAAAGTTTGGTTTTATGGGCTGGCTCAAAACAATTACCTGACTGTCAGTATTACTGGGTCCAAAGGGGATCAAAGGCTTCTTTACTGAAGAGATTGACACTGTTTGGAAACTTGACAATGTAGGGGAAGCTGCTTTTCTTTTCAGCTGCTTTGGTATCTCCAGTCTTTCAAGGATTCGTGAAGTTTTATCATCAAGTTTCCCAGTACTTTGAGGGGGAGATGAAACCTCCTTATGCAACTTCGGCTTGGAGAGACAGGCGGGAGAAGACATCTTTGGCATCTCTAATACAACCAGCTGTTCCCATTCTTCTGTAATTTTTGCACCAATTTTACCATCAGCCAAAATGCTATCCAGCATGTTTTCTTCTATAACCTCCACATTGTTGGCTTGTACTGATAAATCCTCTACCACAGGGTCTTGCAGAGCTGTGTTTGATGCAGTCACCAGTTCTTTAGCCTTAGCAGGTATTGCCCTGAGACAGCCGAACTATTAAGATGAAGGTCCATGACCAGCCAATGAAAATATCGAAAAGAAGCAATTGACTCAATGCCTATATAATGCTAATGTACATGTGATCATCATGGATGGTGATTAGCAGATGGTGATCAGACTGCTAAGGCTAAAGCTAAGAAGCTAAACTTGTTATAAGAGTTGAAATGAAATTTGCTGTGGATCTTACTAAAAGCAAATAGCTCCTGATCGAAGTAGCTGACTTCTTCCATCTCCCTAATGCAAACGACTAATAAGATAGCATAGTTCTTTGCGAAGAATTAGTATGCGCTATAGTTCACCTAGATCAGAAGAGTGTAATTAAGGTTAAGGGCTTGAGAGGATGCTAGCTGAACAAATTAGCTACAATGATGCCCTATCAATAACTAAAAAAGGCAACAAGCACCTAGAACTCAAATGGATGCTGTGAAGTAATCAACAGTACCATCAGCAAGTTAGGGCAGCTCTCAATAGACCACCAGAAATCTTTCAGGTCTATTATTGGCAGAAGATGAAAAGGAATGAACTTCAAGAAACAGCCAATGCTATATTGTATGTGAACTATATTGAAAGAACTCTACAGGAGAGAAAAAAAAAAGTTACCCAAATTGTAGGCTCTCTTTGACAAGCAAGTTTAGTCTTTGATGGAACCCCCTGTCGTGCTGAACTGGATCGTAATTTCTTAACTCGATCTGGAATATAATAACAAAGAGCATCAATTTAACTCGAGATGTACCAAAATGACTTTCCTCTATGCACCAAGGAAGCACACTCAGCCCTTTCTTAATGCCTAGCAAAGTGCAAACACATTAGAGATAGAGCTACATTATCATTTATGAGAAGAATGTGTAACAGCAAATACTTCAGAGAAATAAAAATGAGATCCAGTTAATGGCGCTTGATGTATTTACAGATGGATGCTACTTCATCTTTGATCTCATGAATGCATGTAATTTGGCATTTCTCCCAGTAACAAATGAAGAGGCATTGGTAGAATCAACAAAAAGTATAGGAATAGAATATCCCTAATGAAACAGACCTTAAGCAAAGAGGCCTGCAGAGAATTTTCAATATCCTTGCTGACTGGGATGCAAGCAATATTAGTGATGTCAGGAATAGGCAAAACTTCCTCTGATCCAGCAAGCCTCTGCAAATAATTATGCAGTGACATCACAAAATAAAGAGTAGAGAATCATCTAGTAGGATAGATGAACATGTTAAGACAAAAATAATGCAGAGATCACCGGAACAAAGTAATATTCCCACTGCAGATTATAACGATGGTGACACATTGGACTTGAGTACAACAACAAATCTAGAAGGCAGAGAGGCTTTTCCGATAGACATTGGACTTCAGTGTCAAACAGAAAACAATAAGATATTAAACGAAAAAAATATCATCATCAACAAATAACAACAACAATAACTAATTGCATGTTCTCCTTGGTGGCATACTGCAAGTTAAACCTAGTAAGAATTATCGGTCACATGATTTATTTATTTTTAAACGAGAAGGAAAGAAAGCACTAATGCTTGATTAAAATGAAGAGAAGCAGAAGAGAAAAGCAGATGTTGTTGACTTCTTTTTCGAAGGAAATTAAAGACTCAGATGTTAAAGGGACAGTGGACTTACTCTTAGAATCATCACTCCTTTCTCTGAAGGTAAAAGAATATAATAGCACAGGAAGGAAGTTTGCTTTGCTGTCTCTATATTACAATTTGATGAGCAAACTAAACCCTGGTCAAGGGAGTGCAGTATACCACACAGCACGCGAAAAACTGCCAAATCACAAAGTCAGATGAAGATCTCTTCATAGTTCATGATGGAGTATTCACAGTTTAATCTCAACGACTGAGTAACAGAACATTTTATAAGCTGAACAAGTATATATAATATATATGTAAATACATCCCAAGAAATGATGGTAGGACTTCTGCTTACGTTTAACATTTAGCTCTGATACATCAGTATCAACCAACTCAGAGAAGGCTGGGGTAACAATGTAGGAAGCACCTAAAATAATCCCTGTCAAGTAACAAAAGCTGATATTGAGTGTAGATCACCAATGATCAGAAAAGGTAACAAATGCATGTTCAAATTAGGTGCCAACTGATGAATCACATGCACCATGAGAATCTCCAAGTGAGGTAATGAATGCAAAGATAGGGTATTAATATGAGTTTTGTCTTTGTTAGGACTTTGAATTCTCATAACTAATATAGTTCCAATTGGAACTAGACATGAAGAGTCGAAATTCTTAACATTGGCATCAAAGTCATAAACTAGATCAATCATATATTATCATCTCAGAAATAGCATATCTTGTATTCTTTTATTTTTAGTATGCAAATTTTAAAAGAGAATGCTTTTTATTCTCATCCAAACTTACCTTCATCAAGTGAGCTCAAGTTAGTTCTTTCAATGACATTGAAGTTAATTGGTAAAGGAACTTTCTGAAGGTCCTGGCAACACTGAAAAGAGGGCATATAGAGGATTGTATGTTCTCCTATCTTCACTGAGCTATCAACCAAATCCAGTACTCCAAGCTCAACACCAGTTACTGGACAAGAAGGCATATCGGTCGGGATTGTTCTTGAGTTGTCAAATGGAATGCCATGACACCTGCATGACTGTCAAAAGAGTGATAACTCTAAGAAATTTCACCAAAGAATTACCGCTAACTACAAGAAAATAAATGATGTATACTCCTGCAAACCCAGGGGAAGTAAAAGAGGGTTTTCTGATGCAATTAATGGCAGGGATATCAATAACATTCAAAGGTGGGGTAAGGTCTGCGTACACCCCTTTCCCCAGACCCTGTGAGATCACAATAGTATGTCGTTGCTGTTGTATCTAATGGTCAAAATCATAGAATCTAAAATATCAAATGTTGTCTAACCAACTCATTAGGCCATCACAGAACAGATAAGTAGTTTAAATACATCATAAAGCAAATCCAAAACTTAACAATTACCAATCAGTTAAAGAATGTAACTTTTTATTTTATAAGAATCAGTAAAAAAATGTAACTTAGCAGTAGGAAGAACCCTAAACAGAGAGAACACAGCGATTTTACTGAAGAATCAATAGTTCTTATAATCCAACTCATCAAGACTTTCAACTTTAAAATAAGAAGGCATTCTTATGACCTATTTAGAAATAAATCAATTGTTTTGCATAATATCCTAATGAACTTATTTATACCTTACAAGGAACGAATTCATCAATTATCTGATTGAAAGAGGTGCACAAGTTGCAGGATATCTGATTTGTTGAACCTAAAAGATTGATCTTAAAGACAAAACGAGCCTGTATTTGTTCTTCCAAGCCCTCCTTCAGTTCCTGAAACCATTTCTTTACCAAGCCAGACAAAGCATGTGCATCTGCACATCTATTCGTTATAGATAATAAGAAGAGAAAAATTGACTTTCCCAGAAAATTACACAATAATGTGAACTCATGCATTGAATTAAATGAAGGAGATTTAACCTTTGAAGATCAAATTTATGAAATCAGTCAAGGATATTTGACCTTTATAATCCATCAAGGGCAACATTAACCTCTTAGAAAACTCACGGAAGTACTAAGTTTAGGCTGCTTTTGTATTACTTAACAAGGATCCAAAGACATAAGGAAGGATGCGAAGAAGCACACATGAATAGGAAAGCTTGTCAGAGTATACTAAATGAGCATTAAAATCATTGTCACTGTTAAGTAGCTTGAATTACCGACAATTTTGGGTCTTATACAATCAGGAAGAATAGAATTGGCATTTCTGACATCTTATCTAAAAGTTCACTTGCTACCCACTGAAAGCGTTGAGAACAAATTGATCTCTATGGTAACTTAGGTAACAGATACGATTCTAAGAATTTGGAATATAGAACCAACAAAGATAGCCCTTGCTCAATTAGATAATTTATTATATTTACCCTTGACAAGATGAAGATGAAGTAAATCATAAAATGAAATCACAGTGAACAACTCATCTAAAGATCCCTATAGGGAAGGATTAAGGAGTATTCATAACCTGGAATGTAGTTTTGAAAAGAACAGTTCTCGAGATCACCAATCTGCTTCAAGAATTTGTTAATACTTTCAGGAATATCAGCAAGATGACTTGAATTTTGCTCCAAGAAGACAAACTCTATTGATATACAGTTAGCTGCTGCATCCTGTCAGCAAAACCACAAGTTTTCTCAACCAAAAGCTTGCAGCTTAAACGGTTCATTTTCTGGCCACAGGCAAAACATTACCATGTGTTCATTTTCCTTCTAAATATAGTAGTGAAACTGAGCAACTAAGACATCTAACACTTGAAACACCAGAGAACAAAAGTAGAGTTGATAATGATAGAAATGCAGAGAGCAGATGCCCTCACCATGAGAACCTTTTTGGTAGCAGAGTCCAGGGTTTCAATTATGCAGGAACTGATCAAAACCACCTTTCTAGTAATATCTTTACTATGACCTCCCCATGAGTACAAAACTTTGTCATTTAGGATACTGCTAAGTTTCAAATCTGCAAGCGCCAAAAAGTGTCCACTCTAATTGTAACAAGAGCGATCAAATCGAATTAAGTGTGCGCATGTAGCAGCACATAAGCTTCAATACATTTACATTATAGAAAACTATAGACAAAAAAACACGTAAGAGTTACCGCTACAACATAGAGCTCCAGAACCGTTGAAATCAGGTAAAAAGGCATCAGAAGGCAAATTGTTCACAGCATGATGGAAATCTCGGAGACTGAAGTTTCCTCGTGGACTATAAGCTACCTTAAGCTGTGTATTACACCACTTATCAGTTCAAATGAATATTTTTACAAGTTTACCAGGTAAGCATGGTTGTAATTCGCATTTTGGACTAAATATGCATACACTAATTCGTACTAGAAATAGTGAAGAGATACTATGTTTACTTCATCAGTTCGTGAGAGTCGATTTTTGTACAAATAGCAAAGTCCAATGCGATCGAGCAGCGGTTTCGATCTCGAACTGCTTGTACTACTAGTCGGTGACGATATAGCATAGAAATTTGCAAGCTGTAACATCGACTGGTAGAGAAGAGAACATCGATCAGAAATTACAATGATAAGTATGCGACTTCAAGTGAAATTCGAAGGTCAAAGAAAAAACCGAAAACGCAATGTTTTGAACCAGCGAATCATTCAACAGATTGAATTGCCGTATAGATATTGTACATACGTAAATGTGAATATCTCACCTGCTTCAAATCGCGAAGCAATGGAGGAGATAAGCTCCGGAGCTCCAACACGAAGCAAATAAACACCATTTTCTGGATTTCTCACTCCTACCTGCTACGTGCTCGCTCCTCTTTCCCGCTACGTTTTTCCTACGCCGCTCGCCTATTTATAAACTGGTTTTGGCGCCTAACCTCTCATCACCGGATTGTGTTTTTGAGGATTAGTAAATATCAAAATGACCCGATCCTTCAAATAAAGTTCACATGATCAAAATAATGCCTTCTAATTATAAATCATAAAATGGTTTAATTAATTATTCCCTCCATTTTGATTTCATTTTTTATGGCTTGACTGTAAATTTAAGAAATTTTAAAAAGTCAATTTAATATATATATTTAATAATATTAAAATGTTATTCAATCTTGGATTTTAAACAAATTGAAATAGAAAAATATGATTTTTTGACTAAAGAGGGTAGAATTGGATAGCATACGAGAGCATTGATTTTTTTAGGATTAACAATATTAGGATAAAATGCAAATTTATTTTATTTTGTGTTTAATTAGTAATACTTAATCTCGAGAACCATTTTGTATTAAAATGATGGGATTAACTATACCCTATAGAAGGTGAATAAGTAATCTCTGTCCAACCAAACGATCCTTTTAACAATTTAAGAATAACCCCGTCCACTCATTTAGTCGAAGACGTGGGTAAGGTAAAATGATAAATGTATCAACTACACTTCTACAAGTACAGAGATATGCTTTTGAAAAAATGAAGTTGAGAATATCTTATTCTGTTGGGTGCAGTAAAGATTAACAATTGGGTTAACACCATCCCAGAATAAAACTACCTACAAAAAGAAGTTGCAATTTGCAACTAGCTAAAATTAGTTGACACCATTAATAGAGGAAACAAGGCTCTTGTGTTCACTTGGAGCAGTAAGAATTTCAGATATGAACTTGATCAAAGAGCAGAGACCCCCTAAGAAGTTATGATCAATTACGCCTCTTCCTTCAATAACATGAGCAAAATCAATTAACTTGATTTGTCCACCTGGATTCTGTCCTTCCAATGCAAGTCCCTTTTCAAACATTATCAGAATTGAGCAAGAATAAAAATGGTACATTGTTTGATCCTCGAACCATGCTTTCATCTCTAGTAGCTGCGATAAAATGCCAGTAGAACCGCCATAAACAGTTGCTGCAAAAGCACAATCTGGTTGCATGTCCATGTCAGTCGATGTGTTAGAAGAAACAAACCTTTTCAGGATTAACTTGACTTCCTCTGCAGAAAGGTTCTGCACGGAAGTTCTTTCGGGTTTCCAGTAACCTGATTCTTTGTTTCCATATATTTGTATCCCTGATAACCTGAATCCTAAGGGAAGGCTCGATGTCTCTCTATCTTTTTTCAAGCACTTCTGGATGTACTCCTCAGATGCTTCCGGGCCCCAGGTTCTTGAACCCATTTTTATATCAACAATTGATGGATTGTCTCGACCAACAGAGAGATCCTCTAAAACTAAGTGGGGTTTCAAACCAGATCCATCAGATGCCTCTATGAGCTGAGTGCCAAAAAAGGTAGGGAAGAATTTGGAGATGTGTTCTGGAATCCTACTGTCAGAAGAGAATGATGTGTAGAATTTGAGCTCATTGGACCCTCGTTCATCGCCTTGGAGAGGTTTGTAGAAACGTCCTGATTCATCCACAAGTGGACCAAGCTTCCCATTGCCTGCTTTGTGCCCTGCAACTTGGTGGGGTGGGATCTTAAGCATCCTCACAGAAAGTGAAGCACAATTTAACAATCAAAATCTCCAATGCAGACGCCTTTCCTGTATATTGTAGAATAAGTTACAGTCAAAAAACCAAAATCTCGACTTTACTGACTTGCATTATTTTCAACAATAAGGAATTCATGTAGATTGAATTTCAATTTTTGGTATAGGTGTTGTTAGATATGACATATTTTGAATTAACTTTCATCAAGATCGCCATTAAAGTAAGGAATATATAAACAGCTGATTCTTCCATTAGCCACAGATCCCAATTCCCCCCAGCATAAACTATGTCATTTCTTCTCCTAAATTATAATAAAGGGAAGCAGCAATGTTCAGAGACAGGGCTGCTTTCAGAGCCAAGTAATAGCATGACACACATTGTTAAATAGTCCATTCTTTCAAATTTTCTTTCCTCTATCTTCAACAAGGTAGGGGTTTGGTCTGACTACACACCATCCTCCCCAGACCGCACTTGTGGAATTATACTGGGTATGTTATTGTTGTTTCAATCTTCCTTTCCCCCAATTTCTACAGACAAAGTAGATAAAGAAGCTGCTTAATGAAACCAACTACACAAGTCAATGCCCAAAGTGACAATCATAACCGCATCGCCAATGGAAAATCCCCAAGTGACTGTAAGCTTGAAAAGCATAGGCCACCCAAGCTCTAGTCTTACCATCTCCATATAAAAATCTTGAAATGAGTTAAACTTCTCTGCTTACATCCAAATATCTCTATCAAATGCACAGTTTTTTCACAAGACAAACAACAGATAGTCATCATACAACGCTTGCTTTTTTCAGAAAAAACATCTACAACATTCCTTCAAATATTCTCAAATGTTAAAAACAGGGGAATATTTTTTCTTTGAACAAATTTAACTTCAAATTTCATGATGTTTTTGTAAGTTGTTATTACATATGTTACCTAATCTCATTGCACATCCTAAAAGTAACTAAATTCTCTTATTTATTTAATAGCATCATATTTGATACACTAAAATTTCGGAGTGTAGATCATGAGTTCAAGCCATAGAAGCAACCACTAGTACTTGCATCAAGATGAACATGGGATGTTTCGTGCACGTGACTGCCCTTCCCCTTTACCAAGTGCTTAGATTAGTCATTTCATAAAGGTTAATCACAATCGATCTTATGGATATGTGCATGCTTTTGAGTTTTAATAAGTGTTGGCATATGGAAGAGTTATCCTTCTAGAAATGTAAAAACACATGCTAAATAAACCAGATGGCAGATATGTCCCTCATTTCATTATAACAAAATAAAATCCAAATTTATTAACAGGAAAAAAAAGGTAGCGTAAAGTTTAGACAATACAAATCACCAAACCAGAAACATAAATAAACTCAATTCTGCTTATAAAATAAGAAGATCGCATCTAAGAAAAAGCAGGATTAAAGGATCTGCGATGAACAAGAGATAATATACGCCAAAGATTAAAACGAATTTCAATCCAAATAACAAAATTTCACCATATCATCGACAGCTTAAAAGAAAAACAAATCTGCAGAATGGAAAAAGAAATAATACTTACAGATTAGAGAATTTCGAGCACCGACTGAGCTTCGTATTTTGCTGGAGATCCTTTTCTTTAATAAGAAAATGGGATTCCGATTAAGGGCATCCTACATGCAATTTATAGTAAATTGAGATAATTCGATGCTTTGGAAACTGCGATTTTCCAGAAAACGTGTCTTTATAAGGAAAAGGGAACTGATGTTGGGTCCTATTAGAGAATCCGCATCCCGTGAAATTAGAATCTGATCCTACATGGCTTTTTTCTCTTTTTAAAAAGTTCATTATTAATATTCCCCATAAAGTCAGATAAAAGATCTTTCAGTTTTTCATAACCACTACATCTTAACTAACTCTTAACTGTTTTTTTATTTTGCAATTGTAGAATATTCCTTGAATAAAGTCTTAAAAGATGGCTACTTGTTTAAGTGTTAGTTTTTTCCTTCTTTTTTTCTTCTAAAGTAATATTTTGACTCTTACAAAGGCAGCCACGTTAATTAAGAGAAAAATTAGGAACATTATTGGAAAATTGATGACATTTTGTGACAAAGTCAAAGCAGTGACGGCTTCAAAGAGAGGATCATTTGAACAAAGGAGAACACCAAGATTAGCTTTGTCATTTCGTTGGCTTTTGTAAAAAAGTTGAAGCAGCCCTTGTCTGTTCTTTTGATCTGCTGCAACGAGAAAATAAGGAGCTTTAAGGGCTCTGATCAAACAACATTTGCACAAATTATAAATTTCTGGATAACCTAATTAGTAGAGTAATTGCTAGGTATCCCAAGGAATTAGTTGACTTTTACGACTCCATTTCTAAAATTAATTCGATTCACAATATTGTGATAATTCAAGAAAAATACTCCGTTGAAGAATTTATAGTATCTTTTTCCAGAATCAAGAGGCAATTTGAAAGAGTCCTTACAATAGACTTTTGACTTCGACAAAGTCTTAAAATTCTAAAATGACTTCAACTAAGTTTTAATTTTAAAAATGACTTAATCTATGTCTTGAAATAAATCAATACAGAAATTGTAACCTTGTTGGGATAGGAGGCAAGTGCAGATCTTAAACCACACTGGTTACTTGTTTTCTCAAAAGCAGTATTTTTAACGTTGCATAGGCATCTCGGGATGGTATGCATAAAGAGTAGTTCGGGGGACACAGGGTGTGTGGCAGATTTGCCCAAATAGAAAGCAAAAGATAAAAGAATCGGACACAAAAGATATTGCCTCACAAGAGGCCAGATTTTTCAGTCTAATAATTTAATTTTTCTATAAAAATATTTTAAAAAGGAAAACAAGAGAGAAAACAAAGTTTCTCTCACCTTCTGAAGTCTATTCTTTCCTAAAGTTACATGTGAACACCACATTTAAGCTATCTCGAACTTTAACCTCTCTATTTCCTTGAGACAGAAAATTGTTTTGTTTGTATGATGGTTGAACTTTAGCCTGAAAGGCCCCAGGCAATTGCCACCAGTTCAACTCTGTTGCAGCATTCACCGTTTCCCAGCAGGTTTCCTAGCAGGGATATCCTCCTCATCTGACTCGACATCTCCATACTCCCACATCGCACGTCTCTTTTCTCGTGCTTCTGTTTGATGCTTCTCCAATTCATCCAGAGCCTCTTGTTTGTCCTTGGGCACCCACCTCTTCCTTTTCTCCATCCTAGCAAGCCCTTCCTGAATTTTACAGGTCCCTCATTAGAACACCGCCAGCAAACCAAAAAAAACATAACACTAGATATTTTAGAACCCAACTCAACCAGAAAAAAAAAAGGATAATCCAGGTAAGCCTTAAAGTTTTTAATCAATTGGAACGACACAAATGGATTGAACAGCCAAATGCAATGTACTTGGCAGGGCAGAGGGTAGAGAACAAAAAGAACCTAGTGGCTATGGAAAAAAAAAAGCAGAATCCAAAAGCAATAGAAATGAGTAAAACAATAACTAAT